AAATGGGAATAATAATGTCCTGCCCTGTAGAGATATTTGGGGCTTCCAAAAGGTAATACCGCATTGCTAAATTTAATATCCATATCAGTTGCAGAATATTGTTTGCCATAGATTTTCAGTGGCTTTTCCTCTGAAAACAGCCAAAGATTATTCTGTTATGAAACATGTCTCCATGTTTTACCTAACAGTTCGTTTAATTCAGGTTGCTCTTCAAAAGACTAGGTGAGAATTTGGGGTGATAAGGACAGAGTTTTCTCCATTAAAATAGCCTCAAGTTAGCTCCCTAGGTTCTATCTTTCAGAATTTGTCAGAGAAGGTGGACAGGGTGAGGTAACGTTGCCCAGAACATCACCTGTGCTTGTGATAATGGGAAGAGAATTACCATCTTGGACAATCATTGACACACATTGCTGAAGATATATTGAACAACAGAGTAGAGTGAGAAATGTTTAAAAATATATTCTGAGCTCTGCAGTATTATAGAAATATACTTTGAGTTGTTATCTGAATGTGAAATCCTTAAACTGAGATGCTTTTATTACAGGTAGTCCTTGCTTAATGTCCATTCATTCAGTGACCATTTGAAGTTACAACAGTGCTGAAAAAATGGACATGACCAGTCCTTGAACTTATGACTGTTGCAGTGCCCCTGCAGTCACATGATAAAAATTCAAGCCAGCCCGCATTTTTATGACTGCCTCCCTGCTGCCCCCACCATCCCCCCAGCTGACCTTAGTTGTCTTTGCCTGCCTCCCCTCTGTTGGGTTCACCATCCCAGCCGTGTGCAGGGAGGCACTATGGCTCTGGGATTGCTTGCACCCTCGCGCGCCCTCCCCAGCCCATCTAAACTCACACCACGCCTTGCCAGCCACCTGTGCACCCTCCTGCACTGAGAGATCTCAGTAGGCAGGAAACTGCTACTGGGTCACCCAGCTGACGCTGTCTTTTCCTAGTGGCAGTGAAGTGGTTTTTCAAGGAAATGTGGAAAGGATAATAATGACTTGACCTGGCATGTCTGCAGACAAATAATCTGCTCTTTGCCATTTCACAGCAACTCTTCCTAAAGACAGGCAAGATAAACTGAGCTGTACAAGCAGTTGCTTCAGGAAAGGATCTTACAATGCTGGTGGTGAAATTTGGTCCCCAAACTTCTGGTTTGGGCCCATTTGGAATTTAGAGAACATGTGGTGGGTGCTGGTGATTTACTTGCAACACCCTAGATCTCTCTCTCTCTCACACACACACACAGATTGATAATTATGTGCCATCAAGTCGGTATCAATTCTTAGCAACCACATAGATGTTCATAGATAGATCTATCCCTAACCTGGTCCTTCAGGTTTTCCAATGGTGCACTCATTGCCACCATGCCTGAGTCCATCCCCCTTGCTGCTGGTTGTCGTCTTCTTTCCTTCCAACCTTCCCACCATTAGAGCCCTTTCCAGAGAAGTAGGTCTTCCCACAATATGTCCAAAGTAGGATGATAGCATCACTGAAGCAATGAGCATGAAACTGAGCAAACTCAGGGAGGCAGTGAAGGACAGGAAGGCCTGGCGCAATATGGTTCA